TAAGATTCAAACATCCTTGGCGCATCTTGGTGTAATTGTTCCATTGATCTGTTTACACACCGGAATTATCAAGTGTAAACAATAAAACATTTCCCTACTCCTTCGAGGATTCTTTTATTCTAATAAGTGATCTTAGTATGACTTGTTATTTTATTGAACACATCACGATGTATTCAGCCAGTGAAATTGTCGATATTTTACTTGTTTTGGGAGAGTGTAGGGGAGTGTATCGAGCCGCTGCTCGAAAATATCGAGAACGGTACCGCAATGGGTTACATTACCTGTAACGAACATGTGGGGATGTTCGTTAGGAACACCAGTACGACCTGATGAACAACGAACTGCCGCGGCATAATTCGGTAAATCGTAGGTAAAAATTTTAGTGAGAGAGAGCTTTTTGATATTTCCCATTCCGGTAGAGATTTGTCGATTTTTATGTTTTCCCACTCCGGTGGAGGTTTTTGGATTTTTTTTTTGTTTTCCCACTCCGGTGGAGATTTTTGGATTTTTTTTAGGTTTTCCCACTTCGGTGCGGTGAATTTATTAAATACGGTTAGAGGACTTTCATATATATTTTTTGAATAATTGAGAAGAGTTCTGATGAATTTTTTTTTGAACCATTCGATTGTTGCTTTTGAGGACCCATAAAATTATCGCGAAGAAGAGCTGATATTTTAGAGTCATCCGGTAATTTTTATGGGGTTTGCCGTACTGTTAATCTCACGGGAAATCAAGTAGGCCTAATTGAAATATTAGCGCTCCATATTAAGTCGGATTTCATGGGCATTAATTGGGTACGTTTTGGAATTTCGGTGGAAGGTCGTGTGGAGCAAACACAGCCCTTGTTTCCAACGAATTGCCAGGCTGTTCGAAGATTATGGAAGTTTAGAAAAATTGGATCAAATAAAGAAAAAGTGTATTTTTGGATTTAGTTTCTTTTAATCCCGGGAATCCCGGAGAACCGATCCGTGGGAGGCGCCAAGATCCTTGAATAATCGTCTAAACGATCAGCTGTTCGGGAAAAAGTTAGAATGTTGAGAAATGGTCATATTATTTAGTTTAATTTATTAAAAATTTGATAATTATGGGATTTGGTAGGGTAGCGCCCGCAAAAATTCCCCCACTCTGGGTGGTTTCCCCGAGGATCACCCCTCGGCTGGCGAAACATCTCCGCCAATCAGAGTCCTGCTCGATTAGACTGAACTAATCGCTCGGTTACTGGATCGCGCCACTGACCCCCGAATTTAGTTCCGCGTTGACCATTGACCGAGTTAGTCGTGTAACAACTAAGTGAATTTAATGCCCATCCTGTGGATTATCCGATTGGATTATATTCTTGGATTACTTTAGGATACCTGCTAAGAAAAAGATGTCCGGTAAACGCCAAAATGTGAGTTTTCATCAGATACTTTAGGTTAATTATTAATTTTTCCGAACCATAAGTTAATGGTGTCGGTTTTTCCCCAATTTTGGGGTGTCCCTCGGCTGGCGTAATGCCGCTGCGGTGGGTTTTCCCGATTATTAAATAATCGAGGTTATCACATTCGTTCAAGGGGTTTTTGTGGAATTTTTGGGGCTTTGAGGTGTGTATCCCCCACTCTCCATTTTTTTTATTATTTCGATCCCGATTTACGCGGAGATTGTTCGATTTGTCGCATCACTTTCTAACGCTGTGCGTATCCCGCTCGCTTCCCGCCGTTTAAAACTCCCTTGGGCTGTTAAGTGGTCCCAAGCGGTAACCCTCGATCCAAAAGTTCTAAAATTTTGAGAGAGGCTCCTCAGAACCTTCCCCCATTGAGTGATGTAATTCTTTTCAGTTTTCACTCAGCCAATTTTGAGATTTGGCGAGTTGAGTGTAATTGAATTTTTATCCCCGCGCTCGCGTGACGGGTTTCGCCGTGGAAAATGTTCTCTCTCTCTCACTCTCACGGGTATTCGCATACCTTTTCTCCAGTTCTCGGAATTGTCGAGCATTTCGGGATTAACGAATATTTTCGTATTACCGCTATTGTCCTCGTGTTTTCGATGACACCTGAGGAATTAGATCACGTTAGCCTTATAGTCGAAACGATCGCGATTATATCCTTTTGTTATTATGATTTCAGATCGGATTTATTAGTTTTTCCTTCAGTTTGGTTAGAAGAGCGATGGCTGTTATTGAGAATTTTCGTTTCTTTTAGAAATTATGTAAAAAGATGTAAATTATTTATTTTTGAAAATTTCAATAGTGCAACAAGTAAGGACAATGTCGATCTCTCTTTTTTTTGTAGTTTTGACCGCCCAATAACCCGTTTCCACCTGAAATCCACCCCTCTCTCCATAACCTAGCACACTGAGCGATCCAAGGACTATTACCTTTCCCCAAAAATCCAGTTCTCTTCGTTTTTGATTTGTCGTTTAGGAATTTCTTAAGTGTTTGTGGACTTGAAATTCGTGCGCTTCCGGTTTGATAATTCCGGCTAAAAATTATCTGGCGTCCATTATTCGTTTTTATTTTGAATTAATTAAATTCAGGGGAAGAAGGGCGAAGGTAATAGGTATTTTTAACCCCCATGCAAAAATGTCACGTTACATACCCTACAGATTTAGTTATTCGGAGGAGCGAAAAGCCTTGTAGAAGAGGGAGAATCCTTCGAGGACGACAACAACAAGTACAACAAGATATTAATCCTGATGATCCCCGCGCTGTTGCAATATTAACTATGATTCACATGAAAAATCACGTCAGTTTGAGAGAAATTAAATGGGATTTAGGACTACCACGGAGCACAGCACAAAGAATTTTGCGATCTGGCCGCTATAACCCGTATCACATAACTTTGACTCAAGCATTGTCTGCGCAAGATAGGCAAAACCGTGTTGATTTTTGTAACTGGGCCTTGCAGAGACTGAATGAACACCCACATTTTCATCAGTACGTTCTCTTCAGCGACGAGGCAACGTTGCAGAGTACTGGATCGTTAAATCGACACAATTGTCATTATTGGTCAAGGGAAAATCCTCACTGGACGCAACACATTGATCATCAACATCGTTGGAAAGTAAACGTGTGGTGCGGTGTGGTTGATGGGCTAGTGATAGGCCCATATTTTTTCAATGATACTGTCAACGGACAAAATTCAAACAAAACTCTTTTTATGGCATTTTTCGAGTAAAATGAGATGAAATTAAATGAATGACGAGGTTTCTGAAAACAACTTGTACGTTCTCGTAATGTGGGTGAAGCCCAAGATTTTATTTTCTATTATCACTACGAGAGGTGGTACATTGTCAAGCTACCGTATTTTTATTTGACTGGTTTCGTATTAATTGTATTTTTTAATTAATTAACGAATGGCTTCGTTGAATGGCGAAGTTAAATGTGTTTTTTTTTAATTTTATTTTAATTTTAATGAATTGTCCGAAGATTTGATAAACGTTTCAGGATTCTTGATGACATGATGGGTGTTCCATAAAACCCTTATAACTGCTTGGATTCCAGGTCAACACTTGTATATTTCACACTTTAAGAAACACTGTACATAGTCTCTAAAATTTAGCTGGTTACTTGCTCGAGGGCTAAGTTAGAACTGACGAAAAGTTTGGATAAATTTTAGACTTCGAATTCAAGACTGGAGGGGATAGTTTGGATGATTGGCGATTGGATGGATTTTTCATTTTTGTAACATATATTAGGATTGGTGAAATTAGGGAATGGTAGGGGAAGACGGTGGTACCTTTTAGGGTCGGAGGCGTCCACGTCGACTGGAGGGGTACCTCAGGTCAAAGGAATGAGGGTACATTGAGTTTCCAGCTTTGAGTTTTCAATGTCTTTTGTTTTTTGGGGCTTTTACGTGTCATAAACGACCGTAATAAAAATTGTCTAGACAATCGGGATTTTTCTGTTGGGGAATAAAGCTGTGAACGGGATGAGAAAGTTTGAGAATTAAATACTTGAATAAATATGTCTGGGTAATTCACTCTTTTGGGGATTTGAAGTTGAAAAGAGCAATAAAGGTTTACAATTTTTGAAAACTGAGGGTTCACTGAGCAGGGGTTCAAAATTCTGAGAAATTTAATCAAGACGTTTTTCGATTTTATAACTGTTTTCTTGCAACTTAGTAATATAATTTTTTTTTAAAGTGAATTTCCCCAATCTTTTCAATTTTACGTCTGGAGAGATTAAATGAATATGACCGTAAATTAATTTTTTTTTCTCTACCCAAATTCTGAGAATTGTTGCAGCTGCAACAAACTCATCAAGATGAACAAGTTTCATTGGGATAAAAAATACGATTGCCATTTGAAAAAAAGGACTTTGTGCTTGCAGCTTGCAAGGGGGAGCTTGAAAGCTCAAAATAATGACTACATCGGATGTCCCCCTCGAAACCCTACAATTTTTGTATCAAACATTTTTTTTTTACCCGCCGCCCTTGAGAGATATTTAGCCGCATCTTTTCAGATCGGATACCCTGTATACTCTAATTACCTACTAGGTTCCGCTCACCAAGCGACTAACACACCAGTCAAATTTTTTCATTCTATTTTTATTTTATTTTCATGAAGAAAATTAAACAATAATTAAAAAAAAAATTAAACAACAAAGAAAATTTGAGCCGAGGAAATTCTATAGAAAATGTTTTAATAGAATAAATTGTATAGAAAAATCAAATTTTGTTTACTTTTTCTCTGAAATTTTTTCATACGTGCATCATTAGCCCGAACCATATACAATTATTAAAAGTAAAGAGAATTGAAAATGAATATTATTAGGAAATTTAACTGAAAGTCCAATGTTGAAAACAATGGTTTCCTCATTGGCTAATTATCCGGTAATATGCTGAAATGACTATGAAATGAAATATCCATGCGATGCATTGTCCATATAATATTTTTCTGTGGCTAGTTTTCCACTAACATCATAATACTGTGCTGATTAGAGGTGTTAGGTGTTTTTCAGAAATCGTACTGATAACTGAGTATTCCGCGGTTCTTCACTAACTATTATGTGCAGACGTTACCTTGAGATTTTGTTATTCCAAAAAGTAGAAGAAGAGAAAATATTTTCAGTGCAGTCATCATCACGTTTCCAATTTTCCCGAACTCCGAAGAACCTCACAATTCAAGTAAATGTTCCCACTGACTCGCCAGTTGTAAGCGACTTGATACCTTCCGTGACGAAGTTCTTATCTATGAAATGTTTTAAGTTTAATAATGGTTATTGTGTTGTTTACCCCTATTCTTGTACGTATTGGAAAGGATTCGTTCTTTCATCGATTGGAATAAATAAAAATTAACTCCCATATCAAACACAATCAATTTATCACTTTGTTCTTTACGCAATTTATTGTAGTTCGATAAATTTAATAAATTTCGGTTTAATGCTTTTGATCTATTAAACTCCATTCTAGCTCCCTGAAAATCGAATTTTCCATAGAATATTTTCAAATATTTCAGCCACTCAGGGAATCCGACAACGTTTAACCGCACTTTTTTCGTGACATTTTTTCAAACTAATTGGGTTTTTGCATGAATCTCCGAATCAAAAAATATATATCACATATTACAGATAAATTTATGAAGTTGAAGAAAAACAACTTAAAAAAAAAGATTCGCAAAATTACGAGTAAATAATGATCAAATAGTGTTAAAAATATGAGAAAAAATCACGTGACCTAAAACGGTCCGTGATTGGTGTCACGTCATATCGCGGATTTAGCGCGAAGTTCGTTCATTAAAACAGTTACAACGAATGGTAATTCAAGATGAAGCTCCCATGTACGAAAAAACGAATGGGCCGAGCTTGGCCCAAGCCCGGTGGCCGGCCTGCCGAAGTTCGGGACCCGTTCCTCAACCGGGACTGCGTCAGACTTGGTTGAAACCTGGAATGATAACATCGGGCCAGGTATGGGCGCCCATCTCGGCCCAGCGTTGATTGCCAGTCGTTGGCCAGACTCAATTAAACATTACTTAATTACATGAATATGATAATATGGGTGATTGAAATACAAGTAATTTCATATTACTCCTCAGCATTCGTAATAGGTTCAACGAGGAAAAAAAATCAATACCGGCACGCGACTGGTGCCGCACTGGCTGCCAAACTGTTCATGGCAATTATCAATAATAACAAAAACAAAATAATTAATATTTTTTAGGATGATTTTTAGTATTGATTGTGCCCTACCTACCAAACCCTAACGCAATCATCGCCGAAAAACCGATTTTGTTAACTTAAAATATTACCCCCTAACGTGGGCTCGAACCCACGACCTCACGACTACTAATCCGACGCCCTAACCACTAGTCTACCGCGCAATTCGTAAAACCTCTACTTCAAATCTTCCATATTAATTCCATCTCGGTTTTTTTCGACTTGAATGTTTTATTATTCAGTTGATAGAAATATTAAGTGATTCAACTACAGTTTAATCGGTAAATTAATTCAATAATGAATAATAATAATTATTATTATTAATTACAATAATAATTATAACAATTAGGATTACTGTTGAATGACGATTCTTCTTCTTTTCGTAATAATTAGCGAGTAACATGTGACTTCAACACCTACAATGTCACCATTTTTTTACGATTACACCCTTAATATTTTACCCTCAAGTTTCCACCCTTACCATTCAACCCTCAGAATGTCAGTCTTATGATTTTTTCGCCCCTTTCCATTATTGCGATTTGACCCTTACAATTTTACTCTTCAGATTTTACCCTTATGATTCCACCCCTATGATTCCATTCTCATCATCTCACCCTTACGACTTAACCCTTACAGTTACACCAACGGCTGGAGCCCAATGACCAAGCTCCGGGCCACCGCTGGCTGAGGCTTGGTTATCGAGCTCCGGCATGTTAATGTCCGGCCAAGGCTGGACCACATCTGTCAACCAAGGCTCGGTTACCCGCTCTTCTCCCGAGACTCAAGCCCTGATCCCCAGGGATGGCCGAACCTCGGTCCAAGCCTGGGCACCCAGACTTGGCAAGCCCAGGCTTGTGCCAGGCTTGGCCCGTTTCTCCAACACTGGCATTTCGTACGTGGGCTTCGACCAAATCCTGGATACAGTTTAGCACAATCCGATAATTTGCCCTGCGTTGATGATTTAATGGTCGCAGGGTTTTTTGCCAAAAATGCTAACTTTGTAGCTGCAGAAATACGAGCAGCGAAAGCTAACCTGTAAGTAGTTACTCCATTTCGAAAAAGAAAACTAATAATTACTTCTATCAGTTGCTGTTATTATTCTGAATGCAATAAATTCAGAATTCATCATTTTCAATCAAGTCATCAATTTTTTTAGAGCTTCTCGACAGTCATACGGTGATGCAGCTATAGGTTATGTTCAAGTGAAACATGAAGGCTCGTTATGCACTGTTAAATATAAAATTAGTCCTGAGCACCGAGTTTCAAGTCAACCGTATAAAGTGACTGTTGTCATTGACATTTTGAGTCAAACTGTCATATCCGCGGACTGTCATGACTGTATGGCTGCGCAAGGTAACCAAATTAATATTATTGGAAAATAATACAGCTCAAAATACTATTCTTCACATTTTTTATAATTTTCTTTTCGTGCAGGAGGCTGTAAATACTCTATCGCTTTCTTGACATGGCTGCATCCACGAAGTGAAGAGCCATCTCCGACTGAAGTAGAATGTTACTGGAAAAAGTCTAAGTTATCAAGAATCGGTTTGGATATAAAATTCATAAAGTGCAAGGATTTTCCTTCTTGTCGAGACGACACTCCTGTGAATAAAGATGTGAACGTTTTAGAAGCATTCGTGGAGCGTTGTGAGTCAAAGCCACTGCAGTGTCAGTTGCTGAAGTATTATCAAGAAACTGAAAGTCATTTGAAGTTAACAATGCATGATTTGTTGGTGAAGTTTATCGAGGAAGGAGGAGGTTCAGCCGATCGATTTCTTATTTTCTGCCGGAGAAACATCTCGGAAAAGGATTGTGGCAGTGTCGAAGAAATGACTAGAGACCAGTCCCATTCTCAGCTCTGGTTCAAATTTCGTTACGGTTGAATCACTGCTTCGAAATTCCACGAAACTTTCTGCTGCTCTAAATCTGATGGGGTTCTGGTGGAGATGATAATAGGAGGGAAAAAAATTAAAGATAATAAAGCAATGGCTCGAGGACGTCGATTAGAACCGTTAGTAATCGCTGCTGCTGAAAAGAAAGTTCAGTGTAAATTTAAAAAATGTGGTCTGTTTTTAAGTAAAAAGTATCCAATATTGGGCGCATCACCTGATGCAATTTCAGAGGAATAAGTTATGGAGGTGAAAAGCCCAACGTATGAAAAAAATCGCCAGCTCTACATAAAAAATGACAAACTGACTTTGAAATGTTTTGCATTCTTTTTCAAGTTCAACTACAAATGCACCTGACGAGTAGGAAGAAAGCTTTCTTCGTTGTGGCTGATTCGAAGTCCGAAAAGAATGAAGAGGTAACAATAATCCATGAAAACTATGATGATAAGTATGTACATTACATGTTGCCCCAAGTGTATGAATTTTGGAAAAGCAATATTTTTCGACGATTATACGATTCGGTGAATTGAAAATTAATGTTAAACGATGAATTGTTTCACTGTTTAAAGAATACAAGTCTCAAAAAATTCACAGTTTTATTTTATTATATGAAATCTACTCTTTTGTCGAACATCATTGAATAAATAAATAGCTTCAGTTTATTATAACATTTCGTTACTCGGTCAGAGATGGTTGGAGGTTCACAAGAGCTGCTGCGATCATAATAACATCATCCAGACTCGAAATTGAATAACAATTCACATTAGCATGAGGTGCACACATTTTGAATTCACGGATTCTCCTAATCAATCGTTCAACATGGATTCGAAGACTGGCAATTCGTTTAGATAGGAGCACTTCCTCACGCGTTGGCTTCTCCTGTGTCGGCACTGATGGAACGTCGGACCAAAGTGCATTTTTTACTTAGCATTGGTTGTTCAATATGTTTAAATCCTCTGTCTGCCATTATGAGAATACCTGGTCTTTTTATCAATAGATTTAAACAACCAGATTGATTAATAACTTCTTTATCCGTTGTTCGACCACCAAATCCAGGGGAGATGAAGTTGATCATTCCATCGGGGGTGCATGATACTATTTCATTGTGTTACATTTCTTGTACTCCGACCAGGTTAACGACTATTTCGTAGGATCAACCTTCCCATACCGGCCTCGAAAATGAATTGGCAATTTTTTTTTTATTTTCAATGACGAAGGCCAGAAAATAAAATCCTTCAAGTGAGCTGCTAGAGTCGGTAATGTTGTGTTGAAGATGCGATCTGCGTATGAGACAGAAATTCCAAAATCGTCGCTAAGAATACTAAAACTTTCATTCAATCTAATTTTCTTCAGCACAAGAAAAATATCCAATTCATTGAAGTTGCAGATTTTAACCAAGACGTACATTCAATCATTCATGCATTCCTCAGAAACACCTATATACAATTTGGGATTTTGTTTAATAATTTGATTTCTGCACTCGCGGCTGAGCTGGTTTAGCCTATCTCGTTGATAAACATCTTTAACATCATTATCCGTGCTCTCTGTTTCAGTTCCCAAGTACTCACTAGCCGTAGTACGTGAGCTGATCGATGGTCGTATCAGTAATCCTCTCGCCACTTTTGTCGTTTGGAAGATTACTTCTTGTGGAATCATGTTCGGACTGAAAAGAGTTTCGAGCGGAAATTTTGATCTCAGTAAAAGTTTTCTGCAGTTTCTCGACGGGTGACGTGCAGGAATCTCTGATTGGCACTTTGCATTGAGTAGATTTACTCCGAAATGTTGCTCGTATATTCACCTGAATACAGCTGTTCTTTTTCTCTTGTTCAATTGTTCGCGTTTCGGCATCCACAAAAATATTTTCGTCTGTTGTTTGAATCGCTGTTGATGAATTATTGTTCATACTGTCATCAACAATGGGTTGATGCAAGTCATCAGAATCAACGAGTGAAGTGAATTTAAAACGTTTCACTTCTTGTTGGCAGTCAAGATCATCTGAGTGAAGTATGGTTGGTGGACAGCTGAGAATAAAGGATAACAACGTTATCCATTTCAACCAGTTTTCCGCGTCATTTTTCAACTACACAAAAATACCAAATATTGAG